AAATAATTTATGTTCGTTTGATCGAAGAGAATTAGAACATAAATGAATTTATTTTGGGTTAAACACGGTAGAGCTTGCCTACTGCAGTGAGCGTGTTTTGCACGTGCGAGTTGTGCAGAAGACACGTGACGAAGGTGACGTGGTGAGATTGAATGTGAGTTTAGCCATTCGAGGTCTTCGCACTACACAGCGAGCAGCTTTTTTCAGTCAAGTGTATTGGAAGTTATGTAGGAAAGTTTCAGTATTGAATCTTTATTCCGTTTGGAGGATTACAAGCCGAATGGTTAATGTGTGCAGTATTGCGATCTGTATCAGCAGTGAGGTACTAAGCTTCTGATGTAAGGCGAGGAGCGGTGCTACCTGGTGTGTTCTGACATGACATGCAGCGACGTGGAGATGTGACCTGGCCTGAAGCGGGGAATTATGTCGGGATGCAAGAAATTGGAGATGAGTATTTTAGGTTTTCTCATATTAACATAATTACACGTATAATTTACGTGTATAAATATTTAAAAAATTAAACAAATAAATATTTATAATATTGCGTAAACATCTGTAGTATACTTCATGCATGTGTAAGTAGTCTTTTCTGCTGTTGAACTTGTTTTGCAGGGATGGCTGGAGGTGCAGACTTCATGAGATGGATACGTACTATAATAATCTGTCGGTTCTATGTATACTCCTTTTGCGCAATAAACCTGCTCGCCTGTGACCTGCGGTAGGCATTACCCATGCGAAGTGTTTTGTTGTACATAAATAAATAATTTATGTTCGTTTGATCGAAGAGAATTAGAACATAAAGACATATTCTTTAATACAAATGCATAAAATCAGTGATTTACAATGTGATTAGGTTGTCTGACAAAACATCCACTTGCACAGTTTGAGATTGATTGGATCATTGGATGATGAAATATTTACAAAAAAACGGGTCCACATGCATTTCATGCCAAACTATAGTGCCTAGGTCGGGTTGGGGGAAAAGGAGAAGTAAGAAACGGACTAGGAATTAGGCTATAGACTTTAGGTAAATGTTCAGTTAAACAGGGTTGGTTTGGGTGTTTTTTCAGAAGAAGTGTACATGTTTCCACGTAGCTGGATCCTTAATCAGCTATGTGAGTGAGAGAAAAGTGTCATTTATACGCTGTTCAGTTTTTGTTTGTATTCTTCTACCTATTTTTTTGTAATAAACCATTGTTATTTTTTGTCTCTGATATTTCCCAATAGGCTTTATGCCCGATTCACGAACTGGTCACTGAGTTTTGAGCAGAGAACAAGTCAACCTGAACGCACCCCTTTAAAATAAAAGTACACAACGCAAAGTCCAAGAAAGGTTGATTCACCATCATGTTCCTACATACTACCTAGGTTAACTCAGCTGTCACTGGGCGATGGTAGTCTACTGAGAACCACTAAGGTGATCGTAAGTCACAGAGGTAACCTTAGTGCAATGTTAAAGAACGTGAGTTAAGGTTAACCTTAGTAAAGGTTGCTTCGTGAAAGGAGCCCCTGTTCATTGGCAAACAGAGACAAAAAAGCCAAGTTTAGGTACAGTCCAAGTGTTATAACCTGGCTAAGGCCGCTTCGCCATAGGCTGTCCTTCCACTGTGTGTCGGTGGAACTGTAGTGCACGGACTTCACGTGGTTGAGACTCGCGTGAGGACGGCAGAAGTTCAGCTCATTATACTCGGGTTGTCTGTATTTTAAGACAGTCAGTCTGAGAAATGGGACAGAATATTGATTATCTCTCAAGTTGTGATGTGGAAATATTTGACCTATGCCTTTTCTGTACAGTTGTAAATATTGTGTGTATAAATGTGTTATAGGACCTTTAAGCACCGAATAAAGATTAATATAAACGAGTCCAACGTAGCAAAGTCATTTTAAATTTGCATCGGCGAAAATATATTGACATAGGTAATAAATAAAGATTTGTATTCGAGCTGTAGGTAGGGTTTTGTCCCAGTGTACTGTCATTATGGCCATGCAAAAAACATCAGATGTAAACATCTTTTATATAGTTTCTCCCTGGGAAAGGTAAATCAAAAGTACTAAACAAACATTTCAACGATTTGATTCAGATTACTTACACTAATGTGGAGAGATGAACGACCAACAGAATATTGATGGATAGTGCAAGATGCAAGGTAATATTGATTGTTAAAACCGGAAAGATGTTCATAAAATCTGAATTTATACCGAAAATGGATCATCAAACTTCCTCAGATATGAAATTACATTTGAAAATAAATAAACTGTTTTCAGCTGATATTTCTATCTGTAGGCATGTGACAATGACCATTTCAGCTGATATTTCCCCTTACCATTAAGATGTAATCCGTCCGAATAATATAAATAGTGTCTTGGTTCACCTGTTCCCAAATATAAAAAAAATCTTTTAGATGTTCGCACATTCTTACATCGGAGAACCGTGCACACATGCCTTATTATATTATTCGCACGGATTACCACCCTCGTGTTTGGCTGATATCCCTGGTGCGTGGAATGATGTCACAACATATTATCACAGCACCAGGGTTCAGCGATGTTATAGACCTTATTAAATTAAAATATTGAGATTGAAAACGATCAGTGAGTGAGTGAGTTATGATTTTAAGTCACATCGGCAATATTTCAGCCATATCGTGACTAAAGCAAGTTATAAATATATCAACAATTTAAGTGAAATTATAAAATTCTGCCAACGAAGGACAGTAAAATAACTAGATTATCACAGATATATATGTAAAACTAGTAATTGAATCTAAAACATTTTAACTATAGGGGACAACACAATATAAAAATTGGCTATAGATCGCTAACAACTGAAGGTAGATCACCATACTAGGGACCATGGGGACTTACAGTACATTTGCTTCCTGGATGGGCCCTAGCTGGATTTATATCATCCCCTCAGCCGTTAGCAATTAAGATATATCTAGCCATACATTAAAATTACACATATTCTACGATTAAAAAACGGAAAGTTGAAATTTACTTTGAATGTTTTGGGACTTACGTACCCTCTCAGGAGGACAATAATTTTACAGTACTTTAACCCCCCTCGAGGATACAGCCACTAACAATCTATGGTACTAAGTCAAACTTCCAATCATAAAATATTTAGCTATTTACAAGTCTGTTAACAAAGTTAATTCTTTTAAAAAAGCAATAATTAAATGAGGACTTACATTAGTAAAAGATCCTTCATAGTTCGTGATTTGAAATAGATATCCCTTGTGATGGAGTACTCAACACAGTCAAGCAAGACATGCTTGACCGTGATTCTTTCATCACAAAGGGATACAAACTGGAGGATCCTCACCTTTTAATAGGTACTCATGCGTATATCGTGTGTGGCCAATACGACATCGTCGTAAGATGACCTCTTCAAATCTGGACTGACAACCCAAGTAAGTGTAACCAATGTAGGGTTTTATTGCATGTAATTTATTGATACCTACTTGGGTGTCCCACTTCTTTTGCATCAGATCACGAATATAAGATCTTATAGCAGCTTTGTAATCAGAGTATGGGATAAGAAGTGGTGTCACAGATTTGTTGAGTGCTGCTTTAGCAGCAAGATCAGCCATTGTGTTCCCAGAAATGCCAACGTGGCTGGGTAACCAACAAAAGACGATGTCGCATTGGCCAGTAGCAAGTTCATTGTACAATTCCATAATTTCTAATAAAAGTGGATGTTTGCAAGAAAGATTTTTAATAGCCTGAAGACACGAAAGAGAATCGGAAAAGATGATATATTGTTTATATTTACGGTGTTTATTAATATATTTAAGAGTTGTTAAGATGGCGTTTGCTTCTGCTGTGAAAATTGAACTGTCATTGGGTAGTCTGGAAGATATTGTTTTGGACCCAATGACAGTGGCACAAGCAACCGCGCCACCATCCTTGGATCCATCTGTATATAAGGATTTATAGGTATTATATTTATTTCTTAATTGACTAAATTCTTGTTTATACTGTAAATCATTAGTTTCGGATTTTTTTAAATGAGGTTAATGTTAAGTCAACGTCTGGCCTCACCAATTGCCAAGGAGGAGAAGAAAGAAGACGAGAAGGAGATATATTCTCCAGCTCAATGCCAGCAGCAGAAAGGAATGGTTTAATTCTGTGCCCAAGAGGCGGAACAAGAGAAGGCTTTTTGTTATACAAATCCTCATAAAGAGGTGTGAAGACACAGTTAAATGCAGGGTTAGACTCGTTAGAATATAGTTTGGTAATATATTGTAAAGATAATTTAATACGGCGTTGGGAAAAGAGAAGGCTCATCAGCCTCAACATAGAGACTATCAACAGGAGAGGTTCTAAAAGATCCAAGACAAAGTCTTAGGCCTTGATGATGGACAGAATCCAGTAGTTTTAGGTTGCTTTTGCAGGCTCCACCATATACGATGGAGCCATAATCAAGCTTCGAGCGGACCAGTGATCTGTAAAGGTGTAGGAGCGTAGCTTGATCCCCTCCCCACCTTGAATTAGACACGACTTTCAATAAATCGAGTGCCTTCAGGCATTTAGTTTTGAGAGATTTGATATGCGGAAGAAAAGTTAAATGGGAGTCGAAAATGAGACCTAAGAACTTGGCCTCTTTGACAACCTTGATGGGAGTGCCATTTAAAAACAGTTCAGGATCTGTATGTGGTTTATATGTACGGCAGAAATGTATGCAATTAGTTTTTGATTTAGAAAATTTAAAGCCATTTTCAAGACACCATTTATTTATTTTGTTTAAACACAACTGTAGTTGTCGTTCAATGGTATGCATATTCTTACCGCGACAAGAAATATTAAAATCATCCACAAAAAGTGATCCATCGATAGAATCATTTAAAACCTTGGATAAACTGTTGATCTTAATGCTAAACAATGTGACAGACAAAATACTGCCTTGAGGGACACCCTGAAAACGATCAGCATGAAATGATAAACTACTGTTCGTACTTACATGTAACAAAATGGCGTGATAATATTGTAAACATATATTGTCTAATAAAACATTTATTTTCTGTAATCTGGCTCCAGGATGGGCAAGTACTTTGCAGTTGGGAATTCCTCTAATTCCCCCGGGAGAGGGAATCCCCAAGGATAAGTCTCCGACCTGAAATATAAAGCAAATATATATATGCACGGCAAGTGAATCTCTTTAAAAAGATTAATTTGGGATGCTCGTTAAAATAATGAATTACTTTCAACACCCAATTGTTTGATATTGCAATGTAACACAACAAAACTTACACTGTTCTGTTTACGACTGGTTAAAGTACCGTTTTTGTGTTTGCTTTCAGTTTGGTGCGACCTGTTTGTCAGATGGGAGGAAGTTCGGATCTGGCTTGGAACAGAGATTATAAAGCCACTATATTCAGTTACGCACGCACCCACCCACCCACACACCCACACACACACACACACACACACACACCAGGATCGGTCATTGTGTGACTTTTGAAATGGAAGAAACGTAAGTGGATTACCTCCATGGTCTTTCTTATACATATTGACCGGTGGCTCATCTGAAATCATCAAACATATTCTGTAAAAAAAAAATTCATTTGATTATTTGGTTTTATTTATGAGTAATTTCAAATAATAACCCCAAGATAACTGAAAGTTTTAATAGATACATGTGCATATAAACATCTGTTAATGACTTTAATTTAATCTTTATTAGGCACTGAGAAGGTCACACGCCTGTAGTACATTGTAGGTACCATCCATGAAGTTCATATAATATCCATGAAAATGCATTCTCTGATATGTATATATCTCAGTAGCAGAGTGCAGAACTTTACTCTTTGTTGTTGTTAAGAGTGATGCTAAGATATGTATAATAATATAAGCTGTTTGCTTCTCTCGTAGCATACAGTCTGATCAGGGATAATCTACAGTGTCTTCTATTCTCCTTGGTGTGATGTACGCCTTTTTGTAGCAGTGTCACACGAGCCGGTAGGCGAGGGATAACACTGCTACAAAAAGGCGTACATTAGACCGTATTACCCGAGCTGGTAGGAGAGGGATAACACTGCTACAAAAAGGCGTACATCAGACCGTATTACCCGAGCTGGTAGGAGAGGGATAACACTGCTACAAAAAGGCCTACATCAGACCGTATTACCCGAACTGGTAGGAGAGCGATAACACTGCTTCAAAAAGGCCTACATCAGACCGTATTACCCGAGTCGGTAGGAGAGCGATAACACTGCTACAAAAAGGCGTACATCAGACCGTATTACCCGAGCTGGTAGGAGAGGGATAACACTGCTACAAAAAGGCGTACATCAGACCGTATTACCCGAGCCGGTAGGAGAGGGATAACACTGCTACAAAAAGGCGTACATCAGACCGTATTACCCGAGCTGGTAGGAGAGGGATAACACTGCTACAAAAAGGCGTACATCAGACCGTATTACCCGAGCTGGTAGGAGAGGGATAACACTGCTACAAAAAGGCCTACATCAGACCGTATTACCCGAACTGGTAGGAGAGCGATAACACTGCTTCAAAAAGGCCTACATCAGACCGTATTACCCGAGTCGGTAGGAGAGCGATAACACTGCTACAAAAAGGCGTACATCAGACCGTATTACCCGAGCTGGTAGGAGAGGGGTAACACTGCTACAAAAAGGCGTACATCACACCGTATTACCCAAGCCGGTAGGAGAGGGATAACACTGCTAGTAAAAGGCGTACATCAGACTGTATAACACGTGCTGGTAGGAGAGGGATAACACTGCTACAAAAAGGCGTACATCACACCGTATTACCCGAGCTGCTAGGAGAGGGGTAACACTGCTACAAAAAGGCGTACGTCACACCGTAATACCCGAGCTGCTAGGAGAGGGGTAACACTGCTACAAAAGGCGTACATCACACCGTGTTACCCAAGCCGGTAGGAGAGAGATAACACTGCTACAAAAAGGCGTACATCAGACTGTATAACACGTGGGAGAAGTTTGGCGGTTACCGTGGCAGCGGGTAATATTTTGTCCAGTACTCACCCTCCTGGGAGGGGGTGACACGGAAACTTGGTAGAGCATCACTGACCAATGAAATTAGAGTTAAGCATGCCTTCGTAGTTGAAGGTAAGATAATGGGGTGAACAGTAATATGTACTGAAATATTGTAAACATACATGTGTGATTAGATGACTTATGAAGCACATTCATACATGCGTCTTTAAGTGAAAACGGTCTACATGCAATAGTAGTAACACAAAGTATGCCACCAAAAACCGTTAGATACCTACTCGAATTATGGAAAGTACCTCATGCAAACAATGTGGGACACCCAAGTAGGAAGAAATAAATTTCATGAATTGAAATCAACAATTGGTTATACCTACTTGGGTTGTCAATGAAGACGTGATGAGGTGATTTTGCGACGATGTCGTATTGACCAGTCGCTTTACTCATGACTATCTGCGGCACCCATGAAGGGCCACCTCCTCGTGGTGGGTGCTGGGTAATGCTAAGCGCCCTTCAAACCCCCGTTGTGGACCCGGGGGGATATTTGGTCCACCAACCCGTTTGCCGTGGGTTGCGCCCCTGTGTCGGTGGAGGACGGGATTCTGGTGGTTGAGGGCACTGGTTCCAGGATCAGTGTTCCTTTGCCCAACACACCACTTCGGCCCTTACTTCACCTAGACGGGTGGTAGAACTGGCCCCGTTCTATCAATCGGCTGGTCACGCCAAGCCCTGTGCATTGATTATATGTAATTGCACAAAATTTGATTTGGAATTGTTGAAATTTTGGTCTTGGCACCCTTTGTTCATTTACAGTAATTGATTTTGTAATATGTTTATCATGAACTTTGCCTAGAGTCTTAATGCCCAGAAGGCGGTGGCTCATGGGCCAATCTGGTGGGATTTATCTTTTCAAGATTTTTTCTGCTTGAGTATACCCTCCTAGTATCCTTGGTGCCGTCTGCTGGAGACCCACAGACATAAGGCATCGTCCTTGTTGACACTCCATGGTGGTTGGGGAGCGAGGAGGGTGAATTATATATACTTTAACCATGGCACCCCCACTCAAAAAACGTTCACACGAATCGGATGATTCGTTGTCTTCAGAGGATGAAGCGCAAACACCTGTCAATAACCCTGATAATTGGCCTCGTTTCATTGTAATGTGTGCCCCTGACGGTGGCCCTCTCAAGCTAAATCCGTTTGCTGTGTCAAAGGGCATTGAAGGTTTGGCTGGGGAGGTGAAAGACATCAAAAAGTTGAGATCTGGTTCCCTGCTTATTGAATGCAGGAAAGAAATACAGTCCAAAATTTTGCTCAAAACAAAGTCGTTAGCAAATGTTCCTGTGGAGGTTTCCCCTCACAGGACATTAAATACCAGCAAAGGCATCGTCCGTGATACTGGACGTTGCCTGTCAGACATGAGTGAAACTGACATCATTACTGAATTGCAATCCCAAGGCGTTACTCATGTTAAACGATTTACAGTCAAAAAGAATAATGATGTCTTCAAGACAAACACTTACCTGATTACATTTTGTCTCTCGATGCACCCAAAATCTCTGAAAGCAGGATATTGCAACTTAAGGGTTGATACTTTTATCCCCAACCCCTTGAGGTGTTATAACTGCCAAAAGTATGGCCACGGGTCAAAGTCTTGCCACAATCCTGCTGCATGCCAACGATGTGCTGGAGCGTGCCAAGACAGTACCCTTTGTGATAAAACACCTGTATGTGTCAACTGCTCTGGTTGCCATCCTTCCTCATCGAAGGAATGTCCTTCCTGGAAGTTACAGTCAAAGATTTCACGAGTGAAGCATGAGCAAAACGTTTCTTTCTTTGAAGCAAAACAGATTGTTCTAGCACAAGAACAGTCAGGCCCGAGTTATGCTACCTTTGTTTCTGCTTCTGTTCAGGCATCTAAACCAAAACACGTTTCATGGAGTTCAGTCGGTTGTCAAACGGATTATACGTGGGCTAGAACATCAGCCCCCACATTGCTGTCTGCTGAAATTCAGGCAAAAACACCAAAAGTAACTTCCAGTGTACAATCCATTGTTCAGACCAAGGCATCTTCTGAGAAGGATGCATCCGCTTCTCAGAAACAAGAATCTAAATCAGGCTCAAATGTAAAATCAAATGTGAACACTACATCCAGACCGAGCAATGAAATGAATAAGAAAAATCCAAACAACAGACCGAGGGGGTCAAATGACCAGGTCCAACTGCATAATAAGTTTGCATCACTTGAGGACATGGATGTGTCCGACCATAGCCAAGGTCGGACTCATAGCTTGTCACCCTCAAGGAAGGTGAGGGGTAGATCTCCTGTACATTCGCCGAAGAAGTAATCTCTTCACCCATAATTCAATGGAATTGTAGAGGACTCCGGAATAATTTAAACGATTAATAGCTATTAAACCAAGATTTTACACCTTCAGCGTTCTGCATCCAAGAAACTTATCTGAAACAGACAGATAACTTTGACTTCCGTCAGTTCAATGCATATCACTGTTTTTCTCCTCCGGGTGATAGAGCTTCTGGTGGATCATCCATCCTGGTGGGGAACACTGACATCCATAGCTCATTTCCACTTAAAACAAATCTTCAAGTCGTTGCAGTTCGACTTACATTACAGGTTGCTTTTACTGAATGCTCTTTGTACATTCCGCCTTCATCGGCTGTTCAACTGACAGATCTGCAAGCTCTTTATGATCAACTACCTAAACCCTGTATAATCATGGTTGATTTAAATGGCCACAACCCACTCTGGGGTGGCACTAACACAAACACCAAAGGTAAATTACTGGAGGAATTTATTTCCAATAATGATTTATGCATTTATAATTACGGCTCAAATACGTATTTACATCTTGGCACAGGAACATATTCAGCTCTTGATTTGTCTATTACTGACTCCAACCTATTGAGTGAATTCGAATGGTCAGTCCACGACAATACCCGAATCTGTGAATCCATCTGATGTTCCTCCATCATCAAGATGGAATTTTGAAAAGGCTAACCGGCCTCTGTATAAAATTCTTTGTACTGACACACTAAAACCTGAACTTTTTAATGATATTCCTGATGCCATACAATGTTTTTCAGATGAACTAAATAACATAGCTGACAAGTGGATCCCAAAGTCCTCTGCAATTCCACACGTATAAAAACCATGGTTTAACGACGACTGCAAACAGGTACAGAAGAAAGCTGTGCATTATTTCCGCCGCCATCCTATGGTCCACAATTAAACAAATTTAGAATTTTAAACGCTAAAGCACGACGTACTTTCAAGCAAAATAAACGCCAATCTTGGCGAAACTATGTCTCAAAAATCAATTCGCGCACACAGATATCAAAGGTGTGGAATATGATCCAGAAAATCAAGGGTAAGGGCTCTAAATCTAGCAT